GGCACATAAACCCAGAAACCCTCCCTCATCTTTAAATGGCTGCCTATTAGAACCAGCTTTACTGGTTAATGCAGGCAATACTTCATGTAGGTGATGATGCTGACTCACCAATTTAATTGAAAAGTTACCTTTCCAAGTGGATTAGCCCCCTTCTACGGGCAGTCTTATTTGGAACAGGTCTGAATTTGCTTCAGCCTCTCTCATTTCTTTGCAAGTTCATAGTCTTGGTCAGGCAATGTTTTCAAATGGACTATTTAACTTTTGAAATGAATCTGGACTAATCTTCTGACTGCTCTCACATCAGCAAATCATTGGACAGAAGCAGAAAGGGCCCTAGCACCGCAGACAACTCACTGGCTGGGAAGAAGAGGCCTTGTGTAAGCTCTGAGCAACACGTGCACGAGAGGACTGGGACACGAGCTCTCCATTCTCATGGTCTGTCTTAAACTCTGGTATAAATAGTGTGCAGCAGTACCTCGGAGGGGCTGTAGTTGTGTTCACCCACCGACTGCAGTTTCCACAGGGTATCTGTGGGCACGTGGGATCCATGGAGCGGCCCTTGCTAGTAGCCTCCAAGTGAGGAATCAGAGAATCCCAGCCTCAGCATTCAAATCACAGCTGTGACGGTTTCAAAGAGTGGATTTAAGCGACTGTGATCAAAGGCAGAGTTAATCCTGTGATTCTTTCGGTTCTTAAAGAAATGGGATGGGTAAATCAAGAGGCAGAATTAGAATTTCTCTTGTCCCTGGTGAAATACATGGTGAAATCAGACAGGCATATTTTGCTTGGCACAAAGGTCTTCAAGTCTATATGTCACCTTACTGTAAACTATGATATTATAAAACTGTAGCTTTTTCCCAAAAGGTGAAACTAATGATTTAATTCTCTTGGCCCGTTACCTCCCATCATACCAAGAAGCTTAATATCCTTAGCCAGGCTCTTAACTGGATGTAGGAATTCCATATTATACAGATGTCATGCAAGGAATACTATTCCATAGTAGTGTTTTGCAGTAGGTATCAAACTAAGAGCACTTTGCTAGTATTTCTAGCTGTTATGTTGCATATAGCACTGCCAGTTTGATGAAGTCATCTGAATTTATTTAAAGGCATTCAGGTTGTCTTTCAGCTCAAAGATCTGTCATGCTGCAGCTCTGCTGGATCGCTGCTGGATTTCGTGTGGTATTTTCCAAAGATTCATGTCTGCTGCTTAGAAGAAAAAGTTAAGGAAGTGTTTGGCCTGCGCTGGCAAGAAGGTAGAAGTCTTCATGGGAGAGCACCAGGGGTATCATTTAATATTTACACACCTCAAGGAAAGAACTTTATTGGTAGATTCTTGTTTTAAACGTTCATAACAGAGACAATTCTGGAGTACTTAGAGGCTGTAAGAAATCTTCCTAGTACAGCTGTGAATAGCAAAACCAAGCCAAAGACACACAGATCATATTTGTAGAGTTAAGTGCACTTCTTATGGTATGGAATTGTATCCCTCCCTATAGATTCTGGGGGCTACAAGCCAAACAGATACATAACGAGTGAAATGAAACCAAAGAGCATCAATTCCTGTGCTACAAGGTAAAAACAAAGAAAAATCCTGGCCTCAGAGATGTACAGAGACAGTTCAGTCTGGGCACAGGTTAGCAAAAGATAAAAATAAGGACCATTTCATACGCACGACAAGCTGGGTCTCCAAGGAGGGACGATTTGCAATCAGTTATCAGCAGAGAATGACAATATCTATCTCATAGCATTGTGTTTAGCAAAAAGTCAAACGGAAGCATGACAGCAACTGTCTTCTAAAGCCAGATACATCTTTATTCTCCACCCATGCCAGCAAGGATGGGAAGAGGGAATGCAGTTAAAAATAACAATCAGCAAACACACACTGACTTTGCTTAAAAAAAGCCCCAAAACATTCAGACTAGAGCAGCCAGAAACACACTCAACAATCAGAACTACTAGAATTCCCTGCAGTTTGACAGTGGCACATACGCAGAAATTATATGTGAGTTTCTGAAAGCAAGACAAAAACTTGTGCTTTTTTTTATTACAGCAAGTGATTATGATTATATATCTTGCAGCAGGCAAATAGCTGTGGGGAACAACAGGCAAGAGAGAAAGCTATTAGAGTTGCTTGGAGAAAAGATTGAATATATATAGATAAATATATTTTTTACAAATAGCACCAGAATTAATACAAAGCTCAAATTTGCCCCCACCAAAATTGGTAGCAGAACATCCTGACTTCAGTAGGAACGGAGGCAAGCTTGGTTAAGTGTAGAGAAGTAAAAAAGACATGATGAATTGTTGCAATATATTCCCCAAAAGGTGACCTCCAAGCAGTTTCAGTCTACCCCAAAGCACAGCTGCCATGGCAGGGAGAGACACAGCTGGAAGAGGCACAGGTTTGGTTTTGTCTCTCCTCTAGCAGGCTCTTTGCAATCCTGACAGCAAATCCTGCAGCTCAGGAGGCATTTCACATGGTTGTGTTCTGCAAATAGCTGATATTTGTCATTCAGATCTTCTGTAAGCTAAAAAATCTTTGTGCACTGACTCCAGGCTTTCCTCTGGCTTGATCAGCTGCTGCTTGGTGGTGACAGCTGAACTGGGCTGTCTCCCTCTGCAGTAATGCACTGGCCCACCACTCAAAACCCACTCGTTCGCCTCGTGTTGGGCCCAAGGTGCAGAGTCCCCTCCTTTCATGCCTGCTGCAGCCCTCTAGGCAGAGTGAGCAGCCTTGCCAACAACCCTTCCTTGCCAGGACTTGGTTAGACAGCACTTCTTCCCACCCTCCAGCCTGGTGGACACCTATCTCATCTCTTCCCTGGGGGGGGCATTAAGCAGAGCTGGGATTACTGGGATTACTTATCATCTTCAATTTCTCTATTAATTCAGATGCAAACCAAATTCCCTGATTGAAACAGCCCTGTGAAAGGCATTTCTTTGCTTGAACTGGTTCCAGTGGCACATCTTAGCTTTTCTGAACACCATTGAATTACCTGCTATTGGCTCAGAGGTTGAGGTCTTCTTTCTGCTTCCTGGAAGCAAGCCACGGCATTTAAAGCCTCAGCCAGCAAGGAGTGAGGCTGGTGCATCAGAAAGGGGCAAATGCAGCCTGGCCATAACTGTGCCCAGGGGCACATCTGCGTTGACAGTGAAGTGTGAGCAAAGCCTGCCCTCAATAGTCAACCTGCATACTGTCCACACGCTAAGTTCTCAAACCAGAAACTTCGGCAGCTTTGTCTGCACCTCCCAGAGCAGGGCAGACCAAGCACTCAGCAGGGACTTTACTTATTGCTCCGTGTCGGGTCTAGAGCATCAGACAGACTTGTTTATACATCACAGGTTCCTAAACATGCAGGAACATCTGGACAGCCAGTCAGTGAAACCTTGAGGTCATCCTTGAAATGCAACACAAAGTTTGAGTTCCTGTGAACTCCAGTTTCTGCATGTTTCTTTTTAGCATCCTAAAACTAGGGAGATTGGGGAAGTGAAACACCTATATAGACGTGAATGATCGTGCAGCCTATACTGACTGCACTCTATAAATTATCTACCTACATGCATGCAAGTGGTGGGCCCTTCTGGGCCGGGGCAGAGCCAGACTTTCTAGCAGCACCAGCTGAACTAGAGTACTCAAAATTATGGAGGTTTCAGATATTTGTAACTCAGTCCCCATTACAGTCTAATATACATTTCTCTAAATCTACTCATGTGCCCTCCTTAGGCCCAAAACCCAGCAGTCCAGTGTCAATCCAGAAAAATAACTTTTCTGCTAGTAATTTTTTAGACAACTAATATTTCTGCAGCCTATGCAAGGCCACCTCGGCCTGTCTGGGAAGCCTGCTCAGATGCCATGCAAAGTTCCAAAATTGGAAAACCACTTATGAGAATGAGACATGAGGAAATATAATCCATTGCTCTTCCATACAATTAACCATGAAGTCAGAGAGATTTCCAGAGCTGAGACACTCATCCAGTTTGCACTTGCTGTAAAAAAAGTGGGCGCAGGGACTTCCCCGATCTGAAAGCACAATTCAGCATCTCCTCTATAAGGGCAACTTGAAAAAATGACCATTTCAGTGAGATTTTCCAGTCCCAATCACCAAATCTGCAACCCTAAATACACGTGCCACCAGAGCACATATAAGGGGCAGTGACATTCAAACTGACCATCCCTTCTCAGGGCAGCTGTTCTGACGTATATTGTAACTGCAGGCTCCTGATTGTTCCCTTGCTGAAGACTTCTAAAGCCCATTCCTTCCCAGCAGTGCCCTTACCAAAAGATGCAATTACTTCCTAATCACATATATGAGCCCCTGTTGTAATGTCAGGTTCTTGGTGACATGTTTGCCACATGATCAGGTTCCTATGCATTGATTTACAGAGCAAACCCTAAACTTTGCTCATGCAATGGATGCATTCCAGGTCAGTGTAGGTATGTGGCTTTTATCAGGAGCTATACAGTTTTCTCCCACTGAAAGACAGGGCACTTCTAAGTCTGTTGTCTGTCTTTCAAACCCCGACACTGTCTCAGCCTACCTGGAAGGGTTTGTTCATTCGTCTGAATTGGGGAAAACGTTTTCCTGGCTGTAACCCTTTCTAGGAAAACTGCAGGAATATCACACACACTGCAACTTAACCTGCACCCCTGTATGAGTTCCTGTCTCCTAAAATTCATCTCCTGCGTAGAGATTTATTTTCACTGGATCTATGGTTCACTGTTATCTTCTGTTTCCTAAGAGTGGAAACAGAAGTGGGCTTTTCAGCATATATCCCTGCCAGCCCACAGAGAGCCTCAGTCCCATGGACCTGGATTTTTCACTATGTTACAAAATTGTAAATTAGCTAAAACAGATGACGAGTCATTGGAGAGCCATGCACCTCCCCACCCAGACCACAAACAGCTAGCACACTTGCATTCTGTGACATTTAAAGGGCACTCTGGGCCCAATATTTTATTTATTACGTTTTTGTTTAAATATATATAAAAATCAGTTATTTTCTAGGTGAAAACCACTTGCTTATGAGTCAGCCAAGACAAAGCTTCAGACTGCTGAAGTCTCAACCCCCTGCGCAGAGCTCTTGCCAGAGAGACTACCTGAGATATTGTCAGAATCTAGCAGCTCCACAATGCTGTATGGAGAGCAATCTTCCAAGCCTAGCTTGCTGCAGAGCCAGCCACAGAAGCCCTTCTCCATGTCCCTGACAGCATGCCACCAGTCCCCAAAGGACCAAGTCACCTGGGTCACAGCTGAGTACAGGCCTAGAGAAAAAGACAAGACCATGATTATGAATGGATAGAAGATGATCAAGAAGGGGCAAAAGGTGATTTTGTGCCAGAAGGTCCTCTCTTCGTTGTACACCAAAAAGATATTGTACCACGTAATGGTTCCATAGTAGAATGAAACCACAAAAGACACTACAAAACTGATGGGGAGGCAGATAAGGGTCCAGAGGACGATGTGAGGGCCTCTGTCCAGCCCAACATCACATGTGTTTTTCTTCTCGGGTACGTCCTCCTTAGGAGGTTCCTTTGACTTAGCCAGTTCCTGCAGCTCTTTATCTGTTAGTGTTACATGGATGTCCACCATCTGGCCCTTCTTCTTTCCCCTGGTGATTGTTCCAGTCAAGGTGACGTATCGGCTGTCCAAAGGCGTACTCCAGACACCTACAAACACAGATGAGCTCATTAACATTAGATTTTTGAAAGTTCACAAAGACCATGAGCAGAATCAGACAGTACAGAGGGAGTTATATTGTATTTAGCAATACAAACAAACAAGCAAACAAACAAACAAAACAGATGGGACACAGAGAAACATGCAGTATAAAGAAGATATCACATAAAAAAAAAGAAAAAAAGCTAATAAGGGATAAGGCAGGAATTCTAGATAACAAAAATCAAGACTCTTGTATCTATGCTGGGGACAGTTGAGAGAGATGTTAAGAGAAAGGACTGAAAAAAGCTTACAGGAGAAAAACAGATGAGACAGAAAGGAAAGGGAACCAAAAATGATGTGCCTATTTTCTCAGGTCCCCTCAAAGATTTCTTCCTGAATAGCATAGATGCTTGAGGCTAAATACAAAAAGACTATTGCTATGGAATAAGCATATCCACCCATGGAATTAACCTGGAGTAGCTATTATTCCACTTTGTTTCCTCTATATCTCAATCAAAAACAATTTTCGAAGCATAGGAAACTCTATGGAAGTCTCACACAATTACAATACAGTTCTAACGGGTCAAGGAAGGCAGGGGACAGGAACGTGCTGGGATGTGTGCTGCAGTCACAGGCTGCCTCAGCTGCTGACGACACTGGCCTTGCTGGCCCCGCAGCTCGGGGCGCTAAGCGTGAGCTCAGGGGGGCTGGAATATGGTTCCCCCTGGGCGTAGTTCTGGCTAGCCTGGGAGGCAGCCCGCAGAGGCAGTCTGAATTGCCCATTAAAACAGGAAGCCAGCAGAGAAGCACGAGGACGGGGTTTAGGATCCTAGGCTGTGGGCTCGGCTTCGTTGCTAGGCTGAAGGGCCAGGAGTGTGTCCCTCTGGGCAGTGGAAGGGGATGTTCCCGGGCGTACGTACCATCCGCCATGGAATGACCCAGGAACTTGGAGCCTTCCTCAGAGCTCCTCTCCTCTCCTCCTTCTTCTGCCTGCTCTTCTTCTACCTTATTCTCGTTCTCTGAGCGATACACTATTATTGACTCAGGACGGGACTCTTTCTTCTTCTTTTTCCTACGGTCCATAGTAGCTTCTCCATCAAAGGTGACAGTCGTTGCCACAGGCCTCCTCATGGAGCCGCAGCGAGGGCTGTGGCCTCCAGGTTTGCTCTCTTTCTGCACTGTTTCCTCCATCCCACTGCTGCTCTCAAGCATCTCACTTGGCATCTTTTGGCGCGTTTCCAATCTACCAGCTCCTGCCCTTAGAAATCATTGGTATCTAACCGTTCCAGGGATGCTTTGTTTCCTGAAGACGCCCCGCTGCTGACATCCAAAATATGCACTCCATTCCCAGCCTAAAATGAGAGAGAAAGGTAAAAATGACACTGTCCATTTCATACAAAATATATATAAAAAAAATCCCAAAATATTTCTGCAAAGGGTTACTTCCCTCTGCTTTACATGTCATGTAAGATCTTTATTACCATCTTGTACATCAGTTTTAATACAAGGATACATGTTTTGTAATATTGCCTAACCCTGATTCTTAACTTCTAATTTTAAATGTAAGAAAGAAAAGCTACTAAGAAAGAATATTAACATTTACAAAAAAAAAAAAGATTAAACAAGCGCAGCTTATTGGTTGATTTTAACATTCCCCTGCAATGCTGGAAGCCAGAGAAGACAATAAATAGTCTTGGCCAAAACACAGGAGAATGAAAAAAAATGAAGCCACAGACAAAAATTATGCTGACTAGTTAAGGGACCGGCATAGATTAGAGAGAACTGCAACACGGTGTTCATTTAGCATTACAATATCTATAAATAACAATATCTATAATATTTATATCTGCCAGCCTTTCTAATCCTGAGTGTGTTCTGATTTACTGACCAGCACGAGGACATTATAAATAGTAATCAAAACATGCCAAATTAAATGACATTTCAAACCTCTTCAACTTAGCATTATGCAGGTCTTAAAGCTGAGATTACTACCAAGACGACTTTACTGGGGAGGGAATTTGAAATCACTGCAAAATCATTTGACTTTGCCAGAAGAAAAAAAAAAAACCTTTGCAAATCTATAAAACAAATTTAAGGGCTCCGTTTTTACTCTTCTTTCAAGCAAAACTACTATTAAGTGATGCTGATATCTGTGGAAATGCTGTCTAACTAAAGGAGATCTGATTGAACGTGCAAACAAGCCCTGCGCCACCAGCCTGGAACACACAGTGGGAATGGTTCTCAGATTTTACAGCATTTAAAAATCTGACTCTGCTTCATGAAGTATTTAGGTATAAATATGAATATACTGAACAACATTTTAACAACTCTGGAAGACCTCTGTTGAACATTTGCATAATTAAAAGACGTCACATGATCAAAAATTAAGTTTCTGACTAATGTCTGAGTCATGTCCTGAGCAGGAAATTAAGAAACATTATTGTCATAATTAATTGTCCAAGAAATGCTGGTGAAATTGTTTTACTTGAACAGATGCTGGGGAAAAAAAAAAAAAGAGCATTTTTAGATTTGGCACTGTGGTCCTGCTCTTCCCCCAGAAATAAGGTTTAGCTGGTTTGTTCTGTAATTTGTGGTAGAACTTTAGATCAACTATTTATACGCCTCTCTCCAACACTATTTATTTCATCACTTTAACACCTAAAACTGTGGCCAGCTGTCTCTGCGTTATTTTAAAGGGAAAAAGAATTCAACAATTTAGACCATTTTTTGCATTACAGAAAACAAATCTTCACTAGTGATTAAAAGACAGTTATCATGAAATCTAAAAAACAGCACCTCCAGAAAGCTAGACTACTTCCAAATCATTGGGCTTGGGAGTATCTTGGCCAACTCTGCAGCGTGGCCGGGACCAGACTGTTTAGTTTGCTATCTGAGTTTACACCTGCCGTGCAAAAAATCTATGCCTGAATTTGCAGACATACTGGAAAATTGCTCCACAAGACACAACTAAACTAGCTACTCAGTCTTCTCACTGCGGTCAAATGCTGTACTTAGAAATACTTAGAAGCAAATGAGTTTAACTACTGTTGATCAGTAGAAGTGAGAAAGAAGAGGCATTACAATTAGTGTCCTAGGCTCGTATATGAGCTCAGTTTAATGTGTGGGTTGTTCACGATCACTGCCTTCACATTCTGGTCCCAGCCCAAATTCCAACGCTCAAAGAGAATGTTGCAAAAGCAGTACAGGATTTTTGCCCCCTTTGGGTCTCTATGAGAAATATGTCTCACATTAGGAAAGAAAAAAAGCAGAAACATAAGTCAGCTGAAGAGAAGCAATTCCTTGCCATAACTGTTGCATCTTATCTGCCTGAGACAGAGCAGTGTGGTCTTTACAGCTGGAAGCAGCCTGCTGATAGCTGGTTTTCCACTTACCATCACATAAAAGAATGGGATATGCAAGAAGCTTCACACTGAAGTATAAAACTTAGCTTTCAACTTCCCTGTTTTATCTCCGAATCAAACCACCCATTGACTTCAAAGATAGCAAGCTGTGGCTCTTAAATACTAACACTGGCAGGGTCCATTTACCTCAATTTTTCATTTAATGTTTTTAAGAAATGATTTTGTGGGGCAAATGTCTATGAAGTAAGTTCACTCTTTTTAATAAACTTGTCTGGGAGGTACAAAGAGTCTCTAGCATTTTTCTTTGAGGATCAGCAGTAATACTTCATGTATTACCTCCAGAAAATCCTAGTATCACCTGATTGAGCCTAACGAGCCTCTGAGATAGCAGTGAGAGTCTATCCTCGCTCAGAGGTGGCGAAAAAGCAGCACTGCTAGGATGATTTAATTACGAGTTCGGACACATGGAAGTTCAGTTGGGATTAGATTCTGGAAGTTCCTGGCTGTAATCCCATGTTTAGTCCCTACTGCCCCGAAAAGGAGACAGATAAATCTGACTAAACAGCAATTTGCCAATAACATTTAAAAATAATGCAAAGCTAGAGGCTTTGAGGTTAGGCTTTTGTTGTTTTTGTTTTTTTTTAAGTTTACCCAGCTGTGACCTTGGGCAAACTCACACACATATGAAAGCAAAATGGCCAGTGCTGCCTTCTTCTAAGTGAACTGTGACTATCTGAAGATGAGCAAGGTTATGTTATTTCTGAATCTGGCCAAGACCCTGAAAACCACTGTTCTTGATGAATCTTAGCCCCTTCAGATGAGGAAGGGCTGGAGCGCAGATGATTCTCGTTGAGAGGCAAGGATGTATAAAATCTGATGTCAGTCTACATCAGGAACAAACATGTGGTGAAAGACATGATCTAATCCAGCAGAGAAGGATGCAGTAAAATAGAAAGCTAAAGGACACAAATACAGGGTGGATCCCAAGTAGACATTTTAACAGATGTTGTAGGTGCCTCTTGATACGCATCATTAGGAGCTATGGAGAATTATGCCAACACTGAAAACTTCCAAATCCAGACTAGGTATATTTCTAAAAATTCTCTCAGGGGCACTGGCCTGGAAGAGGTGTTAACGCAGAGAAGTCCTCTAACTTGTATTAGCTGGGTAGTAACCTTAGGAGATCTCTTCTTGTGATGCTCCCTCATCATAAACCTGTTTCCACTCCAGAGCACAAAGCGATTAACTATGTCCATAGTAGATGAAGTGTGAGTTTATTCTCTTCTCAGATGTTGCTCCCATCACCACAGCAGCCAGGATCCTTTGACACCCACGCCTAACCTGAACATACAACCTTAGAAACACTACCATCAGTATATGCCCTGTACGTGTTGACCAAACTGCTCAGAGACCTTGCTGAATCAAACAGGTTCACAGCCCAGTCTGATTTTTGCTGGGAATGTTTTCTCAGTAGTGTGAACAAAGCTTATTTTTTCTTCTTAAAAGAATAAGGCCTGCCCTCAGCATACTGCTGAGAAAGTCTGGAGAGCTCTGGCAGCCCTGCTCCACACAGCTGTTTCCATGTGTGTGGTGAGACCTGCACTCCTCTAAAAGCTCTCTTTAAAACCCAGCTGTGACCACAAAGCCTGGCAATGGCCGGGCATCTAATATCAGCAATGAACGTCTCCTGCATGGGAGCGCAGAGGCAGACAGGAATCTAATCATTGTCCATGGGAGGGAAAGAAAGGAAATGGTCAAATTTCTGAGATAGCGGGGAACAATTATTAGCCAAACAGTTTTTTATTAATCTCCGTGTGAAAACAGATGGGAAACCCTGGGGAGGTGGCTCTGCAAAAACATTCTGCACAGGAATTTTTAGAAGCACAGTCTTCTGTTACTGTGCAGGAAAGCTGCTGCTGCTTATGCTTCCCATGGTAGCATTAGTCTCTGACACACAAAACAGGAGTCTCAAAGTTCAGTCTTGCACCATTTAGGTCAAAAGAGGTTTTTCCACTGGTTTTCATAGTTTGATCATGCTGCCAACACAAGACAAATTAGCCATTTGCATGCAGAGAGGCAGGAAGAAACTTCCAGTAAGCTAATAAAACCCTTGATCTTAAATCCCTGCTACAGCACAAGTAACCTTTTTATGACTGTTCAGAACAGACATGAGGGGAAAAAATGCAGACTGTAAGCAGTGAGGAGCATCAATTTTTATTTTTATAGTCATATAAATTGTACACCATGTAAGAAGTCTGGCACTGCGTCTTCACTCACATCATGCAGGGGTTATCTGCAGAAAGAAAAAAACAACCTGTTTTATAAGCACTGTGGGTTACCCACGCTGGGGAAGACGCAAGGAAAGTCTACCCCAGAGATCCATCTCAGGGACTCCCCAGTCACTGCTCCTTTTACCCTGGGCCCCTCTGACTCACCCTCCCCTTTCCAACCCCTAGTATTTTTAAAGGAGTTGTCTGCTGGCAGCTTGTGCGCATGAAAAAGGGGTATCAGATACCTCCAGCTGTCTGGAAGGGATCTGTCCATCAGCTTCAATCACATTATGGCAGAATAAAATGGTCCAAAGCAGGACAGGCTGCCCCAGATTCTATACAAATGTGTGGCAAGACCTACACAAAAAACAAACTTAATTCAGATCTTGTGGTGGGAGAGGGCCAACGACGAAGCCTTCCTAAAGAGGTAGGCCAGCCTTGAATGTATTTCAAATACCAAAATGACTCCGCACAATCTTTCATACATTCATCCTCACCACACCCCGCAGAAGCAGAGAAGCACTACTGTTCTCTCTTAATTTCACAGCGAAATAGCTTAAACTATTTTACATAGTTGTTTGAACTTAGCAAAGATGAAAGGCTGTGATGAATGAGATGCCGTAAGAGAAGGTGAGCACACCCTTCCCTAACAGCACTGGGGTCTCTGCAGCTTGTGGTGAACTTGCAGGGAGATACCTGCTGAAAATAATCATTTG